GCCTCGTACATGGAGCGCACAAACCAACCACTAGGCCATCGGCGGCCCTAAGGATTAACTGAAGTTGAATCTGAGGTAGAATATGTAAATATTAAACACACAGTGTGCAGTATGTTCCCCCTGTAGCTTTAGTTTAAATCAGTGAAGCCTCGATTCCACCCAGCGGTCCGGTTCAGTTCGGTACATTCAGCATCTCCACTCTCGAACGTTTGGAATGGATGTGTACCATCTTAGGTTTTTGCTTCCCTTCTGTTGGGGTGCCAAGCGGACTGATACGACCCTAAAGGGCGGAGCTAGACCCACTGCAGTCTACTGATAGGTCGAAACAATCCTCACTTCCTGTGCGACAGCGGTAAGAAAGTACAAACACAAAACGCACCATCGATTTCGAGAAAGTCATTTCAAGGCTGTTTCAGTTTTTGCGACTAATTTCAGGGTGTAGCTCCGCCCCATGGATGACGTCCTGCATTGTTGCCCTTTTGTTTACTGTGCTGCGTTCTTCTTCTTCATTGACTTTATTGGCGGGCTACACTTCTGTGATGTCATGCTGTTACCTAGCTGTAGCGGATATCGACATCCAGCTCACCCTTTACCAAACCGGACCACTTGGTGGAAACAGGCCTTATATGAGTGGGCTGGCACCCCTAGTGGAACTTTTGAGAACTGCAGGTTCTTAAAACACCTGGAAACTGAGATCCACATTAAGCGTCTCAGTATGTTATTTATGATCTCATGTTCATTATATTAACTCTCTAAAAGTTTTAGACGTGACCTTACAACTATTTAGAAAATGTTTCTGATATTGGGTGTGAAGTGGGCGGGGTTAGCTCTGTGGTTAATCACGCAATACATTTCAAACAATATGAAAAAAAGGACCGACATCCTGCTCAAGTAAGTCCAACAAAACTACTCGGCTCAATCTGCGTCTTTGAGTCGGGAAATGTCAAATGTGATGTTTGAAATACACAATGAATGGGGAGGAGTTTTGATTGACATGTGTCAGTTTAAAAAACGTGAATGGCCACGCCTACACAGTCATGAGAAATGGTCGAAACCAGTGTTTCTCAGCTGGTGGGTCGGGACCCAAAAGTGGGTCGCTGAGCCGATTTCAGTGGGTGGAAAATGTGTGGGGAAAAAATTGTCTCAAAAAGTTCCATCTCATGGTTCTGTCACGTTTTATTCGTCTGAACTTCTTTATTTTTATTGAATAAATCGGATTAGTTCAAAATTACAGCGTTGATTTCTCTCTTTCTTTTATTATCAGATGATGCAGTGTGTGTGTGTGTGTGAGTGTGTGTGTGTGTGTGTGTGTGTGTGTGTGTGTGTGTTTGTGTGTGTGTGTGTGTATTTGACTCAGATTCTTCTCCAACATCGTTCACTGTTTAAACTGGCTGGAAGGTGATAAATCTGAGCGTCAGTGAACGCAGCAGAGCACAGAGGAGTGTGTGTGCGTGAGTGTGTGTGTGTGTGTGTGTGTGTGTGTGTGTGTGTGTGTGTGTGTGTGTATCTGGAGTGCATGAATCATAATCCCGTCTTGGTTCAGCTGCGTTTAACAAGCTTTAGACTGACTCTCCTATACATCACAAACAGTGAGTGTGTGTACTGTTGTGTGTGTGAGTGTGTGTGTGTGCGTGGGCATGTTATTATGTGTGTGTTGGTGTGTGTGTTCAGTCCTTGAAGGCTCACAGGGCGTAACAAGCGACAGTTATAAGAGTGTGTTAGCTCTGCGGATGTCTGTGTTATCTACAACCTGCTGTGTGTGCGTGTGTGTGTGTGTGTGTGTGTGTGTGTGTGTGTGTGTGTGTGACCTTGTGTTTGTTATCACCTGTGTGTCTGTCTTCCTGTTAAACATGTTTTTATGGATCAAACTTAAACTGATCCTCAGCGTGTCTTTGGTTGTGTCCTTTCAGGATCAATATGAAGGTTGTGTTGTTTCTCTCAGCGGTTTGTACGCGTCTCTGATTAAACAAGGGGCGCTTGATCAGCTGATCGGTTTGAGCTTGCACGCCATGAGTCATCACCACACCGACCCTCTGCCCTTTGGTCCCTGGTACCACACTCTATAGGAGTCTATCAGACTTTATCAGACTCTATCAGACTCTATCAGACTTTATCAGACTTTATCAGACTCTATCAGACTCTATCAGACTTTATCAGACTCTATCAGACTCTATCAGACTTTATCAGACTCTATCAGACTCTATCGGACTCTATCGGACTTTATCGGACTCTATCGGACTCTATCGGACTCTATCGGACTCTATCAGACTCTATCAGACTTTATCAGACTCTATCGGACTCTATCAGACTCTATCAGACTCTATCAGACTTTATCAGACTCTATCAGACTCTGTCAGACTCTACTAGACTTTATCAGACTCTATCGGACTCTATCAGACTCTATCAGACTCTACTAGACTCTGTCAGACTCTATCAGACTCTACTAGACTCTATCGAACTCTATCAGACTCTATCAGACTGCCAGACTCTATCAGACTCT